GGAACTAAATAGCTTACTCCAGAAAGCTACATGTACGCTTGGTGTAATGATGGCTGTGGTATTATCTGTTTCTGTCCAAGAGCCATTTATAATTACTTTTGCACAGGTGGTTCTATTTTTCTAATAGAAGCGTTGGATGAAGATGTACTGTTGCTTACGCTCTCTTCTTTTGGATTGATTTTTTCCTGGGATGTCTTCGGTTGTTTCTCGTCTTTCCCTCTTTCCTCTAGTGCAGAAATCTCTGCATATGAGGGATTTAGCTCGAAGCTTGCAGAGATTAATAAATGTACGGCCGTTAATAGATTTGGTCCTGACATGAAACCAGCGATTCCTAGGTGAGTCTTGACCCTGGTCCTGGTCTCACCATCCCCTCTCCCTGGTTCATCAGTAGTTGCAGGTTTGTTTGGGCACATGAGAGGTTTCAAAGAACTTTTTTATGCGAAGCATGTCTCCGCTTGCCCTTTATTGCCTTTAAAATGTGAGATGGAAATATCGACTGTAGAGTTTCATTGATACGGAGTTGATTCTTAAAGAGCAAGTTTTGTTTCCGCCGAGATCCAGATCCCTTCAGTAGACCACCTGGCTTTCATTCTGAAGGTAGAAGTTTCCTTATTAAACTCATGAGCGTGCCCGCGCTTTCGTTGGAGGGCCAACCGGTTTTCGTGTAGAAGGAGCGGGAGCAGTTTGTGCAAGGGCGAGGTAGAGAGGAAATTGAGCTTTCTTTTGTATCGGTGGAAATTGGGAGCTTTAACTTGCACTTACTGAACTGGGCGATTCCACTAAAAATCGAAGAAAATAGGCCCTGAGAAAGATGACATTGGTACATTATAGTTACACCTTGACGTGAGACATCTTCATTAAAACCACCTTTGACCATCGTAGTTTTATGACTGATGGTACATCAGACTAGACCCCTGTCAGCTTGACTTAAGGACTTAACACAGTGCGTCCCCGCTTTTTCATAGTACTCTGAGTGTATTTACGCCAACAGGCGTGAGCTAACTCAAGTATTCCCACAGTTGCAACAGTTAGGTCTCTTGATGTCAAGCCAAGCGCTCTCAAGTCATTGGCTGATGATTTTGACATACATCCCATCCAGTTGAATGTAATGGTTGAAAAAGAAGCTTTTTTTTTCCTTTGACCTAATATATATTCATTGTCGTAATACTTTTTCTTCATGTGATGTAATGTTTCTGGGTCATCATAGTCATATAATGGTGGTATAACCTCGCCGATTCAGTTCCTGTTCTATTAAATTGAGTAGGGAATCGTGTCGTTTTATTCTTGCGTTATGTGTCCTACAACAGGCTTGAGCGATATGACTCAGGTGATGCTCAACTATTACAACCGGCCTCACACATTGGTGTTTCATTCCTTCCACGAGATGCTCTTGCCTGGGTTGGAAGATTACCATGAACTATGACACTTTGGATGAAGGAGGCCCCGCTATGTAGCTTACTTCCTTTTTTTCCGAACGTGGATTGTCTGGAAATTCATTTGCGAACCGGAGTCCTCCATCTAACATTTTATTTATACCTTGTGAGGTGGATTTGTATAAATCAAGAGATTCACAGACATTTCCCCCAACCTCAGGTGGTTAATATCTGAAATAGTGTTATTACAGGAAGTGGCCATTAACATTGAAATGATTGGATGGTTAGAATTGGTCAACCTCTGTTTTGTCGTTCTTTAGTAGGGGAATCAGCTTTTCTAGTTGCCATACTTGTTGGTCTCCTTTCTTAGCTCTAGTATGGAATAATACATTATGTGTGTATTTTGGGAGTTTAAGCCGTCTTCGGACAGCCTCCCTAAAGTGTCTGTCTATTTTTATGAATGGTTCCAATCCCAGCGTGCTATATTACTTTTGGGATTAGATGGACCCTCAGGAGCTTTGGTGTAAGTTGCTCAATACCATTTCTTTAAGATTTCAAAGGTTTTACCTGTCAGTTTTCCTGTGGGGGAAGCCATTGCACCAAGGTAGCGAACTTCATATTCGGGTTTCATGGCTGGTCGTTGTGGTGATTTCTTTGAGGTGATAATGATATTTTTATTGATTTTAATCTCGGAGATCGCGACTGATTTGGATGGATTATATTTTAATTCTGCATGAGCAGCTTCCTGTTCTAGAAAATTTGAGCTGCTTGGAGCTGATGAAGTCAGGATACAAAGATCGTCTGCAAAAGCCATGACATTGAAGTGTTTAAGTCCTAGTTTGGGGGATGGATGCATTTATTTCATCCATAACCGCGTTGAATAATATTGGGAAGAGGGGATCACCTTGTTTTACCCCTCATGTCATTTTAATCTGTGAATTTTGGTGGATATCCCGCTGTTATTCTGACTGGATATCCCGTTTCTTGTATTTCTAGCTTCTTATGTTCTTCCCCAATAGGGAGTGATGTTTCTTTTTGAATTGTTAGAATATTAAGGTATTTTGTTTGCTTTCTTCTATCTTTGGTAATAATTAAAGTCCTTCCTAGTAAGAATTTTGCAGCCAGGATGTCTTGGTTTGTTTTTTGGTTGGTTTATGTTCATTTCTAATGCGTGTGTTATGGCTCTAGCTAGGAGTATATCTTCTTCATCCCACCGGCTCTTCTTTTGGGCTGTAACTTGTGCTGCATAATATTTATTTGGATTTTTCCCCCTGATATGTCAGCTATGTCCTATTTTTATGGGGAAGGACATAGAACCCGTACATGGGTTCCGGTGGATCGCGATTCAAAGTCTGGGAACCGCTGACATAGAGGACCCATTTCTCGTCTCCTCTAACCACTTGGTCCAACCATTCGAAATGGCGAGATTTGCTCAGGACTTGTACAGGTCTCGGTGCCCAAATCAAGGTCTCTGGTTGCGATGGTATGGCACCCAAGACCCACATGTTTACTTTGCCGGAGAAACAGCTGCACACCCAGCTGTTCCATGGGTGTACCCGAATGAGTAGGCCAAGTAGCGAGTGGTTTGACGGGGGGCAGTTTCCACCAGGCGACACAACCAATCCACATCGCACTCGACTGGTCGTCCGGAACGGGGTTGTCTTCCACAAAGTAGTCGCCAGAGCGGAACCGATCGAACCAGTACATGTTCGTGCGCAGAGAGAGACAACTCCTCGCCTATCACCTGACAGATATTCCTGGCTGCTGCCGCCGCCGCTGAGTGTCCGTGGACGAACTCATATCTGATACATTGTCTGAAATAGGTCTTTTCTGGATGCATTATCTTAGCCCTGAAAGCAGAAAAAGTTTTAAAAAATTAACTGATGTACAAGATCGACCTAGTCGACAACTCAGAACCATTTCGAAACATTTTTTTAAAAAGACGCTGCAGCGTGAGAAGATCTCGAAATAAAGCGCAAACACTATGTATTAAATAATAGATCGAGTGGAGTTGTCAATAGGTGTCTGTTCCTCAGGTTGTGACTCTGAAGAGAAGAGCTCGTAGAAAGTCTTTTTAGATGTCGTCCTCTTGAGGGAAGGTAGAGATGGATGTTTGGCCGTCATGGATGAAGCACAACAAACCTTAGTACTTCCGTGCTGTCCTCCCTGATTTCTATCAGGGAGGCTTGGGAGTGCTATTAGCGCGATGTGAGGGCATGAAGGAAACCACAACCTTGTACTGTCTCGGGTTTGGTAAGCCGATATATCCTCGTGAGTGGGCGGGCTCTTTCCACCCAACTCCCTTTACCTTTAATTGGTAAGAGTGAGCGTAATACATATCCTCTTTCTTACAAGTCTAGGGTGGGGGTAAGATTATTGACCACTACGCGAAAGGACTTCCTTGGGGCTTCAATTCACTGAAATACAGTATATTCTCTCCTCCGATCGCCGGAAAAAACCTCGGATAATCGTAATGGGGGGACCATTATGTCAAGATGATGAGGTTCCAGGTCAGGACTAAACGGCGGCTATGACATCTAAGGAAAGTCTACTCATGTCTGTAACATTGCAGAATGACCGAATGACATATATCCTTCAAAAAAGATGCATCACCACATGGTGAGAGTCTTTCTTATCAATGTGATTAATGTATTAAAATCTTTCCATCTATAGTGTTTCAAACCATTATCGGCATTGGTTATGACCTAAACCTATAGAGGTTCCTTTTCCTATACCACAAGAATTAGACATAGATTACAAGAATGGTTTAAGAACTTTTCCCACCAAAACTGATCTTGCTCTTCATAAGAGCTTACCCAATTTAATTCAATGCCGTCATAGATACTTCACGTTCTAAGCCTCGTTGGTCAGAAGTAGAAACTATCCTAACGAAAGCTGAAATTGTCCCACTGGATACAACGAACGTAAATAAGACACACCAAACAGCCTACAAATCCCTTCTTCTCCAACTTAAAGATTGTAACACTCTTCCTCTATCCCTCTCCCCGTCAATGAACGATCAACCTGTAGGATGGATGAAGTCTGGAATTTGATCATACAAACTCTTTTGACTTTCGTATTGCAGATAAATCCATCCATTACGACTGCTGCATGGCTTGTCGGGTACACCCAGTCGTCCTCGAGCGCGTCCACGGATACTGTGAGAGCCGTCCCGCTGTCAAGAACTGGACCCAGTTGAAATTGTAATTTGTTCCCCTGCACGCCACAAGTTTGTAAACGTCGAAAGCGGACGCTGCAGTGGCATATGCATTAATGCATTCATCTTCCTTCATTTGCGACTTTCGGATGTTGTATCCAAAGATACAACATATGATAATGGGTAAACGAAAGCACTAACAAATCGACTTTAGGGATAGGCATGTTTTTCCTTTTTTTTTAGACTGGATTTCTGACGAGGCTAGAACGTGAAAGAAAAACCTGAGGTTCTCCGTATCTGATAAAATACGCAGCAGGCCCGACAACATTTTTTTCCTGTTACGGGACGTTCCCACGCCAAAAGGTGATATTTCGCAACTTCTTGCCACGAGAAGCGATACAAGGACAGTCTCTTATCTGGGAAAGAACCGTTTAAAAGTGTTGGAGCGATGGGGGAAATATTCAGTCCATCGAACTTCGTCTCCTCGTCTAAATTATGCCAAGCGTTATGGAAAGGAAGATCCTTCTCTCCCTATTCTCTCTTTTCCTTTCCTCCCTTCCCTCGTCATCGGCGCAGTCCCCATGCCCCAATCCCGAGGACATTTACCCTTGCACCTGCCAATACAACGAAGGATCGCAACAAACGTCCGCGGATTGTTCCTTGGCGACGACGAACGAAATCTACTCTGCGTTCAATGAAGCATCCTGGCCTTCGGAGCTCTCGTGAGTTTCTCCCTCAGAAGAAAAAAACTTAAGGGAACAGTGGAGTTTTGCTGACGTGTTCTGCAGTTCTCACAATGGAATGTAATTCGATGTTCTAATGAGGTGGTAAATGATTGTTTTAATCGCGTTATCCCACACTAGGTAGCTATGGGTACACCGAATTGTGAAACGTTTTTTTGAAAATTTATAGGATGCTAGACAATACCAGAACCTTTTCTCCTTTTACCTTGTATGATATCACATATTGATCCCCTAATGAATATAATCCCTAACATCATTAATATATTTTTTTCAAGATGACGGACAGGGGTGCATGCAAAAGGTCACATGTACATGATGTCTCGAGGTGAAAAAGTCCACTTTTAAGTCAGTATGGACGCTGTGACTAACATAATACCATGGAAAAATTATTAATTTTTTGTGACTAACAAATTAACATTATTCTAATTTAGACCAGGCTTATACAAATGCATGAAAGAAGCAAGAGACTGCCTAAATATATCTGACGATTATATGGCTCATGATTACATCGGTTTACTACTGGTAGTTAGGTTGTAATATGCAAAAACTAGCCTCATCAAATCAAATATTTGAAGAAAAAAAGCACCCCCAACACGTGACACTTTAGACCCTTCAAATTCTCTGGTGAATGACTATTTTAACACTATGGTTGTTCAACCATATGCCGTGTATATCTATCTTTCAGGTTATGCTCATAGTATGCAATACAAGTTTTTATTTTGGCCTTAGGGTTGACGGTAGCGTGGAATTACCATACTGTAAGCAGATATCTGAGCTGACTGGACAGAAGAGTGCTTATGAATGGGAATGGGCAAATGGTTAATAAGGTGCAAAAGTCTCCATTCCTCTCGGATCTAAGTTTCAGATTACGCTTGTTGAAGCGCAAAAATTAAGATATTTTCTTTTATCACTTTGAGGGCAGTAGACATCTTTTGTTGCATATCGGGAATTGAGAGCAACGAAAGTTATTAAATTCGCAATATTTAAAATGGAATACCTCGAAATGCTTATTTCTTCAATAATCACACTTCCATTCTCCTCTCTCCTTGCAGGAGCTTTGGAATGAGGGAAAACGACTTAGCAACAGAGCTCTCAGATGGCATCTTCGGAGATGTCTCCTTCGAGTACATCGACATCTTCCAGTCCAGGGAACTGAACGATATTCGACCGCTGGCCCTACTTCCATCAAGCGACCGACTTTTTGGTGCTTCTATCGCGCAGTGCCCCCTCGAGAACTTTCCCTGGAGTATCCTGCCAGACATGGTTGCTCTCAAGAGACTTAGTATCTCTGATACCAAACTCACGACGTTGCCGGCGCTGGAGAGCTCCACGATCGACTATCTCTTCCTTTGGCACAATGAAATATCGACTATTGAGGGCGTTTGGGACGTACCCAACTTATACTCTCTGGACCTTGGTGAGTCCACTACTTTACCTTGGCAACTACGCCTTACGATGTGGTCACGAAAAAGCCATTGATTGATTTATAGCGTAGAGTAGTCCGTCCAGCACTTGTGGTTCCGTTTGTCGGATATTATTGTCTCCTTTCTCTTATATTTGCACTCTAGTTTTGGAATATTTCCCCTAAGTTAGGAAGGAAAACTTGCTACAGAAAAATGAGGGAAAAAACGAAGCCAAGGCCTCTTCGAATTTCTCATTTCCTTGCAGGTGACAATTTCGTGACAGAGTTCCCTGAAGGATTTTTACCGGCTTCGAGTATTTGGAGCATTTCTCTTGCGCATCCTGCAGCCTCGGACCGACTCTCCGATCCGGCTCCTTTGAATTTAATAGTCAGGTGTTGTATGGTGCGTCCTTCTTCGGCAACGGCATCAGAACGGTGGAACCAGGAGCCATCTCTAGTATGTGGAAGCATAAATATAATCTGTGAAGTGATGGGCGATGATTATGCGGGATAGATGGATCACTGAATTCGATTTTCATCTCCTTATGGACTGAAGTTGGAATTCAAACTCAAGTAAAACTAATTTAGCATTATTATCCTCATGACAAAAAGCCTTTAAATCAGAAGTTAGATAATCAGATTTAAAAAATTCAATTCAATTTCTGATAGTGAGAATAATTTATCCTTCAATTTTATCCTTTTCAGGGAAAAGCTTCCATGTGAAATGTTGTCCAGATTAAACGTACGTAGAAAAAAGGAGTTTTCCTGGATTTAACGTCATGATAGCTAATCGTTTGCCAAGTTGCACCTTCTTCAACAGAACATGAAATATGACAAATTTTGCAGGGCACTTCAAATAATTCAAATTCTCTTTTTGTAGGTGACACCTAGAAAAAAAAAGCTAATGCCTGAAAGCCCATGGAACGAAATCTAGAGCTGGGGCATTGAACCAGACCTAACCGCCCGTTTTTAATGTTTCATTTGGAAAAAGCAAATTATACTTCGTTTTCTAGGTTTTCCCGAACTTCAGCGTACGTCCATAGTCTCATTGCTTGCCTTTTGCATATTCATGTTTCCCAATGGATTTCCTTTACATGTAACCAGTTTGGTGCGGGATATGTGTTTATGCCAATAAGTCTCCATACGGAATAACTTAAGAAAAAAAGAACATTCCAGCCTGTCATTTTTTAGTCATTTATTGTGGCCTACTGCAACTCTAACATGCCATCCCAATATGCCCTGGGTTCCCAAACTCCCAAACCACGTGCACCACTATAACACGTACATCAATAATGATTGCTATTCATACCTTAATTGGCTTAATATACATTAATAATTAACTGATTAATTTTTGCTAATTTTAAAGATAATTAGCAATAAGGTTGCTCAATTTCTTCAAATTTCATTTCATGAACAATTGAGAAATGTTTCATATTTATTAAAGAAGCAAAAAAATTGGTACTTAAAATTAACATAAATTTCTGTCAATATTAATCAGCTAATTCTTAATGATCTGATTTGTACAGTCGTAATGCAAGCTCCTCATCAAGTTCAGTGACTCCCATGATACTGGTGCACCTTCTCTATCAGCTGATCCAGTCTTGGGCTGATGTTGATGGAGAGAGCACAGCGCAGATCATGCTGTGGATCGAGTCTCTTTCTTGGTGTGGTCTTTGAGGGCCACAAGGGTTGAGGAAAGGCAGCAGAGCCTTTTCAGCTTCACGGCTAAGAATTGGCTTGTCTTTCAGTAGTGCCCAAAAACGTGAACACTGCAATTGACTAAATGTTTGTCTCTGAACTTGATTTTCCTGGAGATCAATCAGTTCTTGAAATCCAGGTATGTCATCACCAAATTCAGTAAAGTCCAAATAATAAGGGTTTCTGACCCAGCTGTGCTTTTGAGGCTCGACTTTTTCTGGAATGTCTCGATCCATCTCAACCTGAAGCGTTTTCAACTGTCCCTGAAAAATGTTTTCCAGATCAGTCAGACAAACTTTAGACTGGTCATCCAGAAAGACATTTCAGCTCTGGGAATGCTGCTGCAATCTTGCCCTTGTCCATTTTTTCACTCAATAGTCTGTTTTTTCTTGAAGGACGAAAATTTTCCACCAATTTCGACCATGGTTTGGTTGGGACTCTATATATCGGTGTTCAGTTCATTCAGTAGATGAAAGATGTCACCTAAATAGGCCAATTTTGCCAACCAAGTGGGATCCTTGAAGCGGTCACCCAAGACGTGCTTCTTCTCGCGAAGAAAAATTTCGATTTCAGTTCTCAGTTCTAAAACTTTTGCCAGAACCTTTCCTCGAGAGAGCCATGAGTGAAAAAGCAGGTGTTGGTGCTCAGATCCGATTTCGTCACACAGCTTTCGAAACACCCTCAGGTTCAGGGCTCTTACTTTTATGTAGTTGACGATTGCAATGACATCCTGGAAAATTGAATTCGATTTGGCTGCATTTCTTGGGTTGCTAGATTTTCTCGATGCAGAAAGCAATGAATCACAATGACACTGGGATTGACCTTAACTCGAGCACAAAATCCCAGTCTGCTTCCCTTCATGGCTGGGGCTCCATGCAGGGGTCCATCCTTCTTGCCTGCGGTCTTTAAAGCTGTCCAGCATCAACGTCCAAAACGTGGGCTTCGGGGCTTGTCGTTGTACGATGGCAATCCTCCAGTGCACGCAACAAATAAATCATCGGACTTCTGGGCCAGTCAACATGTATAAACATAGCCACATCCTTTTACTCACGCGATTTCAACCCTTGTGACTTTTTCTTGCTCCCATGTGCAAAGAAACATTTGTGGTTGGCGATTTGAGAGCTTTAAAGATGCTGTGATTGCTTACCGGGACCGTTTGGTTGACCTTGTCGAAGAGGATTGGCGCAGCTTCTTTATTTCGAGGAATGCAATTGTACAGATACTCAGGATCCACATATACAAGGTGTGCCAAAAGTAGGTATACAGTTGCCTATTTTATTTATATTTTTATTTGCAGGTAGGTAATGGTGATGGCTGGGTATATGACGTTTGATCAATGCAAGTGTGTACTGAAACAATAAAGTTGGATAGGCCGACGAGGACCAATCGAACGGCCACCACGGTCGTCAGACCTAACACCCATGTACTTCTTCTTTTGTGGCGTCATGAAGGACCAGATGTACGGCAGGAAAGCTCGAACCATCAACGATCTCAAGCGCTTCATCACTGACGCATTCCCGGAAGTGGATGCAAACAAATATCTTTGTGACAAAGTGTGTAGCAGTGTGGCAGACAGACTCCAGGAATGTGTGAACAATGATGGCAAACTCTTTGAGCATCTAAGGGATTAACATTTCCAATGTGTTACTCTTACACAGTTCATACATACAACTGTATACCTACCTTTGGCACACTCTGTAGAGAGCTGTTCATTTTTCAAGCTAAAATTTTCCTTAGTGAGGGAGCAGCTACGGACTTTCAGAATGACCCTTGTATACGTAGTTCGTCTTTATTGTTATTTTCCATTTCATATACATCTATATTTATGCATTTACGTAGTCGTCATCAATGGAGGTACTGATATTACGATATTACAGGATTTATTTTTTATATCTCCCACACGCCCAATATATTGTACTGGATCATATGTAGGTCGCTAGATTTGGATGTTCTTTGTCACTGCTACCAATGCGATTTTTAAAACGCACGTAGGAAAATTGGTCCAATACTCTGCATCTACATGTGGTAAATTGTATCGTCGTCCTTAGATAAAATGCATTTGGTAAGGGAGAGTCACTGTCGATTCAAAACTATTTCTACAGCGAGTCCTTCCGTGTAACCTACATTTCTCTATTCCAGGTCTCGCGCCCAACACGGCAGTTTTACTTGACGATAATTCGATCACGGAATTGACAGAGGCGGCGTTTCGTCCGATTCTTCAAGTCCTGTCGTCGGGAGATGGGTCCCTCTCTCTTCAGGGTGAGTTCAGTTTCACGTTTGCCTTAGCGCTTGTGTATGTTGAAGATCCAGCTATTTCAGAAAATAAAAATTTTCTTATGCTCAAACCAGTCATGTTCTCAGAAGTTTTGGATTTTACAAAACAATTTAGAGCGCGGATGAATGTAGGAAGGGGTCGACGGCTTAGTTAATGAAATGTTGCAATGTTAATGAAAGCTAAATATTTCTGAAAAGGAATGTGCAGATCAAAGATTGTCTAAGTATTTTTCTTTAAAATTCCATGCTTGTCTCACCAGTTTGATGCGAGAACCATGAAGCCAGAGCATAAGCGTATAATGTAAAATTTTTATTACTCCATGAACTCCTGAAAACGCATCAATGAATGCCTAGGAACTCGTCACTCATGCAAAAAGCGTCGATGTGCGTGCCTTCATATGTTCTCTAGTGTTTCCTGGGGAGAATTTTTTTGCAGTGTACAAATATCCAGGTCCGTCGCTGGGCAATTATGAAATCTTTTGGAATATTCCGTTTATGCTTTACCAGAATTTCCGAGATTCCTCCATCGAGACTTTCTCTCATGCTTTGAGTATGAGTACTTTGTATTAGTAACCGCGAGTACATGTTCTTCCACTAAGCATTGCATTTTTTGAAAAGGGAGAGAGGGGGAGCTAAGTGGGCTGAGATGATTTTCCCAGTAAACTCAATAATCATTAAATATGATTAAATTGTCACCCTCTGTGATGGAGTACCGAATTCTGGTAATAAATTGAAGTCACAGTAATGTGAGAGAAAACCTAAGTTACTTCCGTCGGAATTGTTGGGAACGATTCCTGGACTTTCTCGGAACATGGCGTCCACGTAGAAAGGTAGGATATATTTATTCCTCTATGAAGTGGAAACTCCTTTACCTGCATTAGGAAGAAACTCCGTTTCCTTTGCATTGCTTGGAACTTTCCTACCGTGCCGGTCAAAAGTTTAGCATCACCCAATTTCACCAGCTGTTTTCAACAAAACACCTTCTGTCCTCTGAAAATCAAATTTCTCCACTGAAAAAAAGGAGGAAGCATTGCCACTGCACAAATAATGATATCAGGCACAATGCACAGTTGAACCCTTGATTTGGCCTCCTTTGGCCTTGAAGACTTCTGAGATTCTCTCCGGCATGGAGTTCACATGATTTAGGCAATACTGTTGGGTAATCTTCTCCTCCCAAACTGCTTTGATTTTCCGAACCAAGTCGTCGCTGCTCGTGGGTCGCAGAAGCGCCACTTCACTTTTCAACATTTCATATCAGCATTTTCAATATGCAAGATTGAAGTTGGGCTTTCTAGTTGATAATTAAGTTTTTTTTATCATTCTACTAGCAATTCGATGCTCCACCAACAAAGATATGTAACGAGTAAAAATGCCACAGTAAGATACTCTGCCTATGGGCATACTTGTACATGCAATTGATTCAGACTAATCGGATATCAGGCATATATAAATAGAAATAATGGCTTATTTATAGAAAAACTTGGTTTTTTTTTTCTATGTGATGCTAAACTTTTGACCGGCACTATAAGTATGATATGTATTACAGTGAATGTCCTACTCCTCAAATTGCAAAAAATGTTTTCTTCAACAATACAGTAGAAGGTATTTGATGAATGACTTCGGACGCTGTTTTGCATACGTGATGTGTTCCTAGGCATTCTCTGATATGCTTTCAAATTTTCCTGCTGCAAATAAAAACTGCCGTATATGGTACCCAATTTCGGAAGTAGTGAAGTACACGTGAACCGTAACTTCTCAAGTTACTGCAAAACTTGTAAAAGTAAATGGAGTCTTAAGGCTCCAGGGTCTTGCACGTGATTTCATTCATGCCTGGAAAATTGGGGAGATTTACCACTTGTGATATAAGTTTTTTTTCCCATACTGTCCTCCCCATTCCATTAGGATACTCGAAATAAGGATATCCCTCTTTCCTTGCAAGGATGTCCTTCTCTTCGTGGGAAATTCACCTGGAGATTTTGAACTGAAGAGCGCGAA